GAGGCCACCAGGATGGCCCCAGGCGCGCCCAAAAGGCCTCCGAGATGGCCCCCTCAACCACATGAAACATATGGCATGCCACGTGGGCGTTCAGCGCTTTCGGCTTTGAGAGAAACACTGAATCCAAAGAGAGCGCCTCGCTTGAATGAGATCTGCAAAAAACTGTCAAAAACTGTGCGGGCTTCGAGTCGCAACAGTTTGAGCCAAATGAATTCGGAATCCCGACTGCTCAATCTCGCCAGTTCTAAGCATTCCCCAGACACGAAGTTGGGGATGCAAAGCCACAGAGGTACGTACACTGAGCTCAGGTCCAGGCGTGAACAATACCCGTAAGAGCACCCTTCGGGAGATTACGACGTTCGGGGAGGGTGTGGAGGATTGCCACAGTTTGGGGAGAAACGTTGGCCCCACATCGGAGTGACACTTCATCTATATACCCACGTGTTCGCCGATACCTTGGAGCTCTAGGCGTAAGGGATGTGTGCATCCCCATCCTCCTTCCCTGGAGGGTCTCTTGAGACATTCGGAGATCTCTAGAGGTCTCCAAAGATCGCTTGAAGTATCCGGAAGTGGCCAGTGGCTGGAAAACATTCGCCGCATGATCCCTCCCATGGTTCAAGTAGGAGATCGGCTACAAAACTGTGTCACCCCAGAATTGAAGTGTTCGTCGAACCAGCGAAAATACGTACAGCTTTTGTGGATATACGAACATACCACTTACTCTCCGTAGACTCCACGACAAAATCGAGTTGGGGGTTAAAATAAAGCTTTAGCCGATCTCCTACTCGAATGGTCCCCCCGCGGCCCGTCTCACGGGCCCTCCCGCGGTCCCGCCCGCGATCCCGCCCGAGGTCCCCTCCCGTGGTCCCTGCCGTGGTCCTTGCCGTGCCCGCTTCGCCCTCCCCCCCGGTGATCCCCCCAGTGCTCCCCCCCTACCGCGGTCCCTCCGCGGTCCTTCCCGTCGTCCTCACCGTGGTCCCTTCCGTGGTCCCTCCACAGTGTTAGGCGGTAACGTGGCCCTGGCGGTCCCTCCACGGCCCCTGCGTGAGAGAGAGGAGGAGGAGGAGGAGGAGGAGGAGGAGGAGGAGGAGGAGGAGGAGGAGGAGGAGGAGGAGGAGGAGGAGGAGGAGGAGGAGGAGGAGGGAGGAGGAGGAGGAGGAGGAGAGGGAGGAGGAGGAGGCAACAGGACGGGGCGACACCCAGGCAGGTAGGCGCGAGACCCGTCCTTGTGGCGCATGCGCGACGGCGCCCAGGCAGCTGCGAAAGAGGCCCTCAGCAGGGCGCCCTGCTCCAAGACGAGCGGGTCGATCCTTCGGGGGGGTGGGCGAGAAAGAGGATCGGGAAAGGTAAGGTACGCAGAAGGGCGCCAACCATCTACGCACGCGGTTCCTGGCGACACCCATACTGGGTTCAGGAGAAGCCTGGCCAGGATCGGTTAGGTGCACAGTTGGCGAGCGATGTGTCCTGTCAACGCGGCGTACTTTCCAGCTCTCGCTTGCGAACGACGCTGCCGAACAGGCCCTTTCGGTTCGAATGTGAATGACATCAATGCATCTAAGCGCGAAGAGTTCATCACACCCGTCATGTTACACAAGCGCTGCTGGAGGCGGACCAATTCTCTGGCTTAGAATACAGTGTGGTCACTGCTGAACAATAACGGAGCATGTACTGGAGCGCCTGATGGCATCAAACCCAACTGCGACGCTCTACGCCTGACACCTCCGAACCGATACACGTATGCCACACGGCAACTGGTCCCCATGTCCACCAACGTCCCGTAGGTACTGGGTGGGATGAACCCAGGTACCTGAGTTCTCTGTATTGAATGCTGTGCATACTATGTTGTGACGGGCCCAGGGCCCAGACTTCTGGCCGCTGCCAGGGTTTCTTCGCACGATTCTCCCCGAAGTCAAGCCGTTGAAGAAAATGTTCTGTATTTGTCAGTCGGCGGCGAGCAAGGGGGGAAAGTGAGAAGAAGAAGGCCTTCTCAGAAGGCGGCGAGACTTCTCAAAGGCCCTGGGCCTTCTGAGAAGTTCTTTGTGTCTTCGGGGAAGGCTTCGAAAACGTCTCAAAAGGCCCGGGGATTCCCGCGCCTTCTGAGAAGGCCTTCTCCTTCTCACTCCCCCCCCTCGCTCGCCGTCGAGTCAAAGTTTCCAGCCCCAGAGGGGGGAGGAGGAGGAGGAGGAGGAGGAGGAGGAGGAGGAGGAGGAGGAGGAGGAGGAGGAGGACGAGGAGGAGGAGGAGAAGGAGGAGGAGGAGGAGGAGGAGGAGGAGAAGGAGGAGGAGGAGGAGGAGGAGGAGGAGGAGGAGGAGGACTGGTGCTGGGAGCCAGCTTGTGCCAGGGCGGCCCCCGAGAGCGCCAGGAAGCGCCCCAGAGGCCCCCAGAGGTGCCCAAAGGGCTCCGGGAGGCCTCAGAGGAGGCCCCGAAGAGGCCCCCAAGAGGACGCCCAACAAGCGCCCAGGGACCTCCAAGAGGCCCCCAGGAGGCAGCCTCAGAGACCTCGAGAAGGCATCCAAGAGGGCTGTGGCCCACAGCCCAGGCAAGGCAGCGGGATGAGCCGAGGGCCACGGGATGTTGACGGAATCCCCAACTTCTTGATGGTGCATTCTGGCGGTCGACACCTCATCCAGCAGTGGATGTAAATGACGAGAATGTGCACACGTTGACTTCCGAGGGAGACAGGATGCCACCGTGGACTACCAAACTTGAATAGGTTATGTCCTTGTTGCCGATTGCTTGGTCCCCTTAGTCATGAAACCCCGTACGCCACATATGGGTCTGGATCTATACTTCCTGAGCCGAAATGTCGGACCATGCGTACGCTTCCAAATTACTGTTCGGAGAACTATACCTTGACGTCAGTGTCCGTCCACATCATCACGTCTGTCGCGTGTTCGCAAATCCTGCCCCAAGTGGAGGTTCCGAAAAAAAACACTGGGCCAACGTGATCGGCGCACCCAATTGCGAACCTCCTGTCGGCATTCCTCTGGCTCTCGCCGTTCTCTTCTGGTTCGCCCCTTTTGCCTCTCACCAAAGCCTGCTCAACGCTCGCCGCGCGTGAGCCGATTCCCATCTCCTGCGATCAATGATCAACGCGGGTCCGCCTGCTAATGCAGTCCTGCCCGCACAATTACCCCTTTTCCCTACTCCTGCCTGTAGAAGAAAAAACGCATCCGCACGGAATGTCGACCTACACGCACGTCGCAAGACCGCAATCGACCGTACAATGACAAGGGGCACGCGCGCGCGATGCCCCCGTGGTCATGTCCTCTCGCGGGCGGCGTGTTAACACGTAAATTTCCAACCATGCAAACGATGAATCGAACGACTATAGAGGACGAGGGCGTGAAAACAAATCGGTACCTCAACACTGTTTCTTCTGCGATTGCCCGCTCAACGTACTGTGTCCGACTGTTTGCGAGGCAGCCTCTTCCTGGCTCAGGGCCTCGGCGCCCGTGCACTTTACTATTGTCAGCGGGTGCGCGTGAATTACCGAAGCCCACTGTAATCTAGGACCCCCGCTGCGGCGTTTCCAGGCTCGGAGAGATGCGACTTCCCTCTCTGGAAAATGATCTGGCGAAGCAGCGATTCGTCGGGCATGGCAGACAGTTCGCCATACTACAGCATCAGATTGGCGCGTACGTGCTGACTTCAACATTGCTGGTTTGCTCTGCACCGTATATCGGCGTTGTTACCCTGCGAAAAACACCGAATGTGCCGTGTCTTACGCAAACACTTTGATTGAAAAGCATAAACATTGACTCGGTCCGTCGAATGTAGACACATGTTCCGAAGCTGCGCGCCAGTTCAAATACAACGCAGGCGTTGAGCAACTCATCATGTCTCGTCCTACTCGTGCTGACATGCCTGTCGTGTGTATAATAGTGTATATCCGCCACCGTGCCCTCAGGCACGAGTTGGAGTGCCCTCAGGTGAACGCTGCACAAGAGGTAGGCGTGCTGGGCTGGAGCCCGGCCTTGCCTCCGCCGGCGCGCCGGTGGCGCGTAGACCCTGGGCCGCCGCGGCCAGGCGAGGGGCTGGCCCGAGGTCGGGCATGTCCCCCTAGAGGCGGACTTGGGACGAAAAATATGAAATACCCGAACAGTGCTCCGAAAGTTCGCCGGCCCAACGGGCCATAGGCGTGCTAAGATCTCCGGTAACTACTTAACAATATTTCTAGTTCGCGCGCGCGGGGCGGCCCCTGGGGGGCCCCGGACGAAAAGTACCCCGGCCGATCCCCGGCTGACCCCTGGGCGATCCCCAGGGGGGAGGCTATTTGTCGCCACCCCTCACGAAATTCGTGGCCTCCGAGGGGGGAGCTGCCAACGACTACCCCCCCTCCCGCCCCAAGGGGCCCCCAAGAGCCCCCCAAGAGGCCGCGGGGGAGCCCAATACGCCGCCAAGCAGACCCAAGACGCTCCCAAGAAGCCCCCAAGAAGCCCCCAAGACGGCCCCAAGACGGCCCTAAATAGCGCTCCAGGGCCGGCGGAATGAGCGAAGCGATTAAATAATCAGTTTTTATGTTCTATATGTATAAAAACAACAACAATAATAATAATAGTGCTAATAACAACAACAACAACAACAACAACAACAACAACAACCATCTTAAGACTGTTCGCTCTTACTTGCCCGCGAGTCTTTCAAAACGTATACCCCACACCCTCGATGCCCGCCCTCTTTGTCTTCGAACACACCCCCTTTGGGGGGATTACTTATCTTTGCGGGGGCCGGCGGGCATAGACGGGCGACACGCCGGATCCCTGACGCCCGCGGACTGCGCCGGGCCCCGGCGCGGAGGGCGGCGGGATGGAACGGCGGAGAGGAGGCGAGGCAAAAGAGGGGCGCGCGGTGAAGGGGGAGAGGACAAGGTGGACGGGGCGACCTTCGTCGGCGAGCTCGCAATGGTGCACGCCCTAGTGCTTGCGCCAACGGGCGCCTTGAAAATCCCGAAACTCCGGGAGTCACAGCCTCGCGCCGATTCAGCGCGGCAGGCCCATCACTGAAAGCCCGCCGCAACCGCCGTGCCCGGCTTGATCTTCTTGTGGGGGGGCTCCTCCTCGTCGACGGGTCCCTGGGCGTGGCGAGCCCGCACAGCCGCTTGGAACTGCTCGAGCGTCACGGCGTCCCCTGAGCGGTCGTTGTGGAGAGCATTACCGTGAAGCGCGAAGCCCAGCATGGCGCGGTGGTGCGACGACGCCACGTGGGAGCTCCCCCCTCCGCTGAAGAGAAACTGGGTAGCCCTGACAATGTTGACCTGGGCGGGGTTGATGTACTCCCAGACGATCTTCGCATTCGTGTTGAGGTCATCGACACCCACTGTCTCCGCGGCCGCCACCACGGCGCTCCGGAGCTGGTCGATCCCGTCTTTGCGGTGCTCCTTTTTCGGCGCCAGGATCTTCTTCATCGCCGGAAGGACCTTGTCGATCTCCTGGCACAGCAGGCGCACGATGTCTGGTTTCATGCACGCCTCCACCTGCACACGCTCGCCCTTGAGGTACTCGAGGAACTGTACCTGGCTCTGCAGCCAGCGATTCACGCCGACCCCGCGCCTTTCATCATGCTCGCTGGCTAACTCTGTGGCGTAGACAGCACCCGTCTTTTGCTTCACGTTGCACAAACCCCAGAGTTCGTGGGTGGGCATCACGTCGAATTTCCCACGGCCGTATGCGTTCAGGAAAGACTTCGGGATCGTCTCCCAACTCTTCAGGTATGTGCGCGGCACAGGGGGCTTCTTCCCGTCGTCCCCAGAATTCGCCTTGCGGGCAAACAAATGTTGACACGGCATGTTGCTGCGCCAAGGCACAGCATAGCGAGAGAGGACACAAGACAGAGAAGGATACACGGACACAAGAACGCACGCAGGCCACGCTTGCCAGCAAATCGCAGGACAGGAAAACGCATGGGGGCCAGCCTCGAATGAATCTGGTGCGCGCACTGGGCAGCAGCAGCGGCATGATCACATAGAGACGCAAGCATCAATTAGCAGGCCGCGCCTGCCGCTCGAGGTTGGCGAAGGCTGCCATGCCCGAGGAGTCCGCCATGGCAAAAGCTGGCGCGTGCTCTCGGAGACAACAAGCAGGAAGCCACAAAGGAGCCGCGTACCTGAAACGGCTATCGAACGATTGAAAAACGATAAAAGTGCACGGGCGCGCCAGCCGGGACAATCTGTCATAGCAGGATGCAACGGACAGCCCCGAAATGGATATCCCGTGCGAGTCTCTTCCGCCCAATGCTGCTCTATGCCGCAATCCAGAGACGGCATGCTATTTCTGGTATGATGTTTTTGCATCCACGACGCCACCACGCGTGCGATGTGAATGGCCTGCGAGCACTCGGGCGCGCAAAGTCCATGGTAGGACCCCCCCACCCCTGCGGTTGCGTCGTCGGCCGCCTGCCCATCAGCTCCACAGCCTTCCCGATTGGATGCCTGGTTGGCTGCATCGTTTGCTGCCTGGTCAAGTGCCTCGTTGGCTGCCTTGTTGGCTGCGCTGTCGGGAGACTCGTCCGCTGCCTGCTCGGCTGCCTTGTTGGCCAACTCGTCAGTTGCCTGGTTGGCCGCCTTGTGAGCTGCCTCATTGGGTCCCTGGTTGCCTGCCTCGCTGGCTGCCTGGTCGGCTACCGTGGTGGCTACATCGTCTGCTGCCTCGTTAGCTGCCTTGTGAGATTCCTCGTTGGCTGAAATCGCGGCCTGGGGGGTGAGTTGCGAGGCCTCTGTGGAATTGGCGCGGTAAGGTCCACTCCGAGCATGCCCGGATGTAGAGGACGGGAATTGAAAGCGTGAGCGCCATTGTCGCCCACCTCTTCAATATTGAAACGGCCAGTGGGCAGTGTAATGGTGTCTGCCAGAATGAGCATTGCAGGGGTCAGCAGCCGGGAGGCCCGCTACAGATCGACCCGGAGCTAAGAGGCCGCCCCCGAAGTGGAACTCCAAAGTTGACACGTAGACCCCTTTCACCCCCCCCCCTCTTCAATCCTGCTGCGCTGCGCTGTCCTCTGCGGGGCCGCGCAACGCCAATCTTGCGAAGGGTGTTTGGGCAGGGCCCTCAGGGAAGCTCGCCAGGGGGTCCCCCCTGAAAGCTCAAGAGATGTGCTGTGGCGGCCAATGTTCAGAGGGGGGCACCGGGGGGGCAGGGGGGCCTCGGCGAATAACAATACGCTTGTCTGCTGGGCACTCGCATAAAGTACTCTTCCCAAGGGAGGTGGAGGGGAGGGGTGAGGGTGAGGGTGAGGGAGGTATATGGGAAGTGGGAAGGAGAGGGGTGGAATGCCAGGGGGCGGCAAGGAGAGGAGACAAGTGGATGGAGGAGGAGCGGGGCAGATTTTTTTCCATGCGCTGTGTGTGCTGATAAAAAGCGCAGTGCTTGGCAGCGGAAGATGACGGTGCCACGGCCGCCGGCGGCAACGGCCACGGAGACGACGGCGACAAGGAGACCGCGCTGCATCGATGAGTACGCGACGAGCGCGTCCACAGAAAACTAAGGAACGTCGTCAGAAGGATGCTCTTCTGGAAGTAAGTCGCCAAGAAGCTGGCCGCCAGGCAGTGCGTCTGGATGCAGATCGTGTTTCAACTGCTGGTCAACCTCCGACTCGCCAGGCGAACTGTCTGAACAACCGAGCAAATATGCCACTTCACTGACGCATTGCTCAGAGCACTCAGAGCCGTCGCAGGAGCTGGCAGAACATCCCAACAAGTGCTCTATTTCACTGCCATGCTGGTCAGAGCTCGCCGCAGAGCGGTCCGAAGAAGGAGCGGCCATGGGCGTGTCCGACCAGTCTTCGTGGACCTCGCCAGCAGAAGGTAGACTGGCATCGTCGGAACCACACGGAGGGTCTGAGTCGGAGTCTGGGTAGCCCCCATGCGCCACATGTCCGGGTTCGTCATTGGAGTCGTCAGAGTCCGTATCCTGGGAAGCAACGCCGCGCGCCACCTGCTCCTGCCTGCCCTGGCCCCCGACAGGCAGGAAGTCAGATCTCCGGAGCTTACCAAACAAGAATAAGCCGGCCTTGTGGCGGAAGCGGGAGACCCCGACGTATGCGTACCCGCGCACAGCTGCGAACCGTTTCTGGTCAAACCAAATGACCCCGGAGTCGATGCTAGCGCCCTGCGCTTTGCGGATCGTGGTGGCATAACCGTAACAACACGGCAAGAACCACTGCTTATTCTCGTACAATGGGTGCACGAGAATCATGTTGCCAGTTCCGCGTAAGCGAGCAACAAATACAGCATTGCCATCCAAACTTTCCACCACCTCTGCGATCGCCCCGTTGACAAAGCCGCGGGTTTTATCGAGATTACGCGTGAGACGAATGACGAGACCTCTTTTGGCGAGGATGGGAACGGAGCACTTGCTTGCTGGATCCGCCCGGAAGCCTGTTCGCAAATCATCGTCTGTGACACCTTTGTGCCGCAAGGCCGCTTGCGCAACTGCCTGGGCGCCAGCATTGGCACATGTAAGCCAAGTCATCGGGGGGCCACCTTGTTTCTCGAACTCCAGAGTGTACCCGACGGTCTGCTCCAGCGTGCCCCGGAACTGCCTGCGATGGAAATAATCCTGAAGCGTGTCCATTGTCGGCTGAGTCTCTCTGATGTGGTTCAAGAAAAGCAAATGCTCGGGGTCCTGCGACCTGTACACCGTGTCTAAGGTCACCGTGGGGCAGCAGCGGCACAATCGCTGGCAAAAGCTTGGCTCGTGGGCATCCGTGACCCTCTCCCCCATGCGGACTGGCGTGAGCTGCTGGAAATCCGCCACGATGACGCAGAAAGGCGAGTGCGGCTGCTCGCACAGGGTCTTGAAGAAGCGCTCGAACTCCGTGTCCGTATACTGGCTTCCTTCGTCCACGAGTATGAGGTCGATTTTCCGCAACGCAGAAGGCGGCGACCACCGAACTTTGCCATCCTTGTCCGGCCGTTTGTAATTAAGAACGCCGTGGATAGTGTCCACGCGAATGTTTTCGACGTGGTCCGCCTCCGGCAGCTGGGATTTGAAGCTGTGCACGAGCTGCCCAGTCGGACACACAATCACCACGCCCAGACCGCGGCCAGCGGCTGCCAAGGCCGATTCCAGGAGGACTGCTGACTTACCGCTACCAGGGGCCCCTGCGACATACAGGAATCTCCCAGGACGGCCTTCCTTCTCCTTCTCCATCTGGTCCTCGATGCTCGTTTTCTGCTCTACGATCTCGAGGACGTCCGCCTGCTGCTTGGACCAGTGGCAGACCTTGCGCGGCGGGCGACGGACCCTCTCCCACTCATCTTTGAGCTTCGTGACCTCGGCGTGGTCGCCGGCGCACTGGAGGACGCGGCGATGCAGCAAGAACTCTGCCTGCGCGTACATAACGAACGTCTTTACACGATCTTCACGGAACCCACGGTAAGAGAGATCCCGACTGCATATGTCCGCCATCCATTGGAAGGCGTGCTTGTCCGTAGGGAAAACATACGGCGCCGAGCTCAAGTCTGCATCGGGCGCAGGCCGAGTACCAATGGATTCACCGATCAGTACAAGAGCACCGCTGTCCTGAACATCCAATGGCAGCGCGGACTCTCGGAACTCGAACTCGCCTGAACGAATGACGAAACCAGGGTGGTCGTCGCGATCGTACCTGCAAAACCGCCAGGTCCGGAGGTACGCCAGGAAGCCGAAGAAATTCTTCATGTTCTCTAGGTGCGGCTGGTCTGGGAGTGGCAAAAGGTCGCGCGGCGATCTGTGAGGGATCTGCGTGAGAGACATCTGCCCCCAATACCCATCTGTGAGTTCGTACCAATACCGGCACGCGCAGACCATGGTGGGGGACCTGCCGTATGAGATGTTCTTGCCTTTGCGGCCTTCTGCCCTGTTGCCATTCCGATCCCACTTGTAGTGGCGATGCCACTGCAAGAAGGACTGGTTGACTGGTGCGTTTGAGTTGACATGTTCCCGCACTTCATTGTGGTAGGACTTGTACATGCTCCAGCTAAAATTGCCACCATGGTCGCCGAGGCATGCGTCTCCCTGCGCGTCGAACACCGCGGCGATGGCGTCGGGCTGCGGCGGAAATAGCAACTCGTGCGAATAAGACCGGTCGAACTCGGGGTACTGGGCAAGACGAATGGCGCACTCTGGCATGGACGGCGTCATCTTGCTGAGAAGACCAAAAGTCGCCAGCCAAGGCGCTGTGTTTCTGGTTTGCACGTACTCGCCCAAACCCACGTCGACGGCGTCGTGTCCCTTCGTGCAGTAGCCGTTGATGTAGTTGAGCCGGCCGTTGCCCACCTGCACGTCGATCTCGCACATGAAAAGAACGCCCAGAAACTTGACGAAGCCCACGGCGGCAGCCAAAGCTTGACCGCTCACGCCTACTCGCCCCGCGAGCGAAGCAAGGGACACGCCTGCGGCAGTCAACACCCACGCGCAAATGTGCCAATGCGGCGTGCCTCTACCCTGGTATTCCGTTCGGACTGCGTACTCCATGACCCGGAACCAGCGATGGCCGAGGTGGTTGCACAGGAAAGCCCAGATAGACAGCACCAGCAAGTACATGTGAATGCCGATGCAGTAGGCGCCGCTGACCAAGTGCTCTCGATACGGCCGCAACCAATACGGCACTGGGAACTTCCATTCGGCCGGGGCGATCGTAATGAACAGATTTGGGAAAGCCGCCATCCATTTCTCGTCCCCGGCAGCGTCCCTGCAGTGATCGTAGAGTTCCTTGTGGCCTTGCTGGTCGTGGCACTTCCACATCTGAACGCGCACGAGATCAGAGAGCGAGTCGCGG